CAGGAGCCTCTCCGGGGTCTGAACCTTGAAGGCCTGCTCTGTGTGCCTTGTGCACACCTGTGCCCCCAGCCCCAGGCCACAGCTGCCAGGGTGGAGGGGTCACCTGGCTCCAGCTGACCAGTCTGTCCTGGGACTCTGGATGCGGAGCCACGGGACAGTTGCCTTTGGATCTCCTGAACTGAGAGTGGGCGAACCTGGGTGGCCGAGTGCACGAGGGCGCCATGAGTGCTGGGCACAGAGGGCCGGGGCGCGAGACGCTGGCAGGTGCCCAGGCAGCGGCGGATGAGGTCCCGGGGAAGGACGAGGAGGAACAGGTGCTGCCAGGGCTGGCCCCTCTATGGCTTGGCCGTACCTGCTTTGGCTCCATGGGACTCTCCCGGGCGGCCACCAACCCGCCTTGGCCCAGGCTGGTACAGGTAGATTTCGGTTCCTGGAAGCCGCAAGGGCTGTGTACAGGGTGCCTCCTCCGGGCCCTGGGATCGGCCTGTCTGCCTTCCCAAGTGGTGCGTGAGGCCTGTGTCCTCGACATCAAAGGCCCCCACCTGTGCTCCCTCGGTGTCTCCAGACCCAGCACGGAGGAGGGACTTGGTTCTGTGATTACTGACTTACAGCCCAGGCTCCAAAGGAAGACCCCCATGTCGCACCGTCTCTGCTGCGTGCCAGATGCCCTGCCAGCAGACTCACTCCACCTCCCCAGGGCAAGCCACTGGGGGAGGGAAGCCGCCACTGGGACCGACACGTGGTCGGGAAGCGGCAGAGGCAGATTCGAATCTGGCTCTTCACGCTGCGTGTCGAGCGCGCTCTGCTCTGCCCGGGTCTCCCGGGGATTCCAGTGGCCTTTCCTCTCCCTTCCACTGTGGGGGAGAGACCCGAGACCTCCCAGAGCGTGGGGGCCTGGGGGTGCAGGAGGCAGGGCTGGAGGCACTGACACGCTTAGTCCCCATGAGGTGAGCGCTGAGCTAAGGGTGGCCCTGTTCTCACTCCTTCCCGCCTGAGTCTGGTGTGACAGGGCTGGAGGCAGGGACAGCCCAGACGGGGTGTCTTGGCCAGAGATGGTAGGGACCCGCGACGCAGGCAGAGGGCTCTGATGGTGCGACCTCCACTGCTGGCTCCTCACAAGGGGCCGCGCTGTGGCCGGCCACGTAGCCACGTCTGGGATGCAGATGAGCAGTCAGGACGGGACTGAACTGCCTCACTCTGCCTCCACAGACGACGGCTCGGGAAGCTGGAGAGGGGAGGAGGGCACCTCCACGCCCGTGGGACGTGCTCACAGGTGGCGTCAGGGCTTTCCTGGCAGCGGGGGTTTCCTCCTTTTAGGGGCACCCCGAGGCTGCGGAGAACAGGGTGCCTCCTGCTCCCTCCCTGAACGCCTCTGACTTACGACCAGTTGTCAGTTGTCTCAACTAAACACGCCAAAGGAGCGCACCGGCTCTTTCTAGAAGGCTGACAGGCTGGGGAGGTGACCGTGTGCTCACCAAGGGCCCTGCTGGCTGGAGAGGGGCCTGGGCACCTCCTGAGGGACATGGGCCTCTGGCAGCTTTGGACACAACAGCAAACTGGGGAAAAGAGGTTAAAACAAACGTTTATTTAACAAATTATATTAAGAATACAGTCACACAGTGAAACTTCCCTTTGCCAAGTACAAGAGTCACCTTGAATAAATACGCAGTCAGGACGTCGTCCCTAAGGTCCTCGTCCAAGGCGACGCGGTCACACAGCAGCTCGCATGGCCTTTGCTAGGGGAACAAAGCCCTGCCTTGTGGTGACAGCCACAGGCGCCCGGACATGTGCTCAGAACAGATGAGAAAGGCTGGCTGCCCGGAGGGTGCCAGGCAGCCTGAGTGGGGACAGTCGCCCCCGGGTAAGGTAGACGAGAACCGAATTCACTGAGCTCCGCTCCTGCGTGGCCTGGAGGCGGCTCCGCCAAGGCCCTGCTCTGCCTTCATCCTCAGGCCCACCCGGCTCTCAGGGGAGCAGGCCGGACCCCCACAAATGCCCAGGCACGCAGGGAGTGGCGGGGCTCTTGCACAGTGGCGTGGTGACCGGCAGGGCCTAGTGGTGGCCCAGAAGTCCCTTGCAGGGCTGGAGACAAAAGGCTCAGCTGGAGGCTGTGCTTGAGATGGGACAGCCCGGTGGGCTTTGGGGCGGCTCAGCGGCCCTGTGCCCACCGACAAGCCTCAGCTTCTCCGTCTGTAACAGGAGCAAGGAACATCCACTTCTGGGTTACTTTGTTTTTTGGGGGGATGACAGGAGAAATGTGCTCAGAGCGACAGGAGCAGGTGCTTAGTGTACGGTAGTCCTCTTCCTCCCACCGACCTGCTGACTGGCCAGGGGCCACCAACCGGCGCCACCGCTTCTCTTTACAGCAGGAGCACGGCCACCTCTGACCAGTGAGCGAGGGCGGCTGAGAACCCAGCCGGTTCTCGCCTCTCCAGTGGGGGGGGCGGTGGCTGGCTTTCGTTCTTGGACTTGGGGTGGGAAGCCGGGCCTTGGTCGTCAACTGCACGAGCGCCTGGAGCTCGCGCCTCGCTCCTCTCCACTGTGTGCCGTTCCAAGGCCCTTGGAAAGAGACTCGGACTTTTTGGAAGAGGGAAGGCGGTGGGGACATTGTGCTCTGGTTGGAGTCTTTCTGGGAGGGACAGGGGGTGCGGGGCAGGGACAGCAGCAGCAGTGGGAAGTGCTGGGGGACCCAGGGGTGAGGCCGAGGCCCTTCACCTCTCCAGGAGACGCTGCGCTTCCTTCCCACGGTGGCCGAGGGCTTGTGAAGAAAACCCTCCCCCAGGAGACACACACGGTGGCTCAATTCCTAGGCCTGAGCCAGAATCCCGATTCTCAGTGCTCCTGCGGCCCGCGCAGGCCCCACGCGGGTGGACGCGTGCACCGTACACACACACACACACGCACGCACGCACGCACACACGTGCTCATCCTCACCCACCTCTCAGGGCAAGAAATGGAGGGTTAGGAGCAGCCTAAAACCTACCACAGATACCAACTTGTCCTTAACACTGTCACTGCTTAATTGTCTTAAGCTGCCGATTACTACAATGTTCACAGTCAATGTTTTTCTTAAACTAAGTCCCTAATGCTACAGGGAAGAGGCTGCAGCTCGCCCGGGGCCATGCAGTTTGCCCTCCTGGTGGCCCTGTGGCCCTGTCTGTCCCGGCTACTGCAGGGGAGCGCATGGAGTTGCCTAGCTGGGCCCAGCTGGAGTGGGCCTGGGGGACATCAGTGAGGGAGCTGAGGGCACCCCTCTTCCTTCCCCAGAAATTGCCCTCACCGCTCGGCTCCCTCTGCCTATGACCAGGGAGCCCACACTGTCACCTTTGGACCCTCCGGGCCCATGAGAGCGGCTGAAACGCATCATTGCGAGTCGGGGAGGAGAGGAGGGCGGCCAGGTGGTAGCTGTCAGAGACGGTCTCACGATCAAGGCATAAAAAGAGGTTGAAGGACAAAGTGCGCAAACCAAGATGAAGGGGGCAGAAGTGACCAGAGCGCTGCCCTCTGCCTTCCCGCCACCCCCAGCCTGCTGGACATCACCCCTCTCTGTTGGGCTCTGTCATGCAGGCCACTTGGTTTTGAACCAGCCACCGTCCTAAAAGCAGCAGTAGACACAGGCTCTCTGGGCTCCCCAGGGCTCCCAGATTCCCCAGAAACACACCAGCTCACTTTAGTGACCACGGCAGGTCCGCACAGACACTCCCGTTTGGTCCCACGGGCCTCCCGGACCCTACAGCTCCCACGCACCGCCGCTGCCTGCCGCCTGGGGCGGCAGGGCCTCCCCCACCCGGGGCACCCTTAGGTCTTGGGGAGGGTGGGGAGAGGCGGCCAATTCCCTGATCCACGGAAACTAAGAGGTGTCCAGATGGGGGCCAAGGAGGGCCAGGTCTGGAGGCGCCAGGCTGCTGCAGCTGTGTGAGGTATTTCGGCCCCTACCTCGTCGTCAGCCGAGTCGGCCGGTTCTTCCGCCCGTTCATTTGAGCCTCAGACCCCGGGCACCTGTGTGCCACACCCCAGGCACTGCAGCGAAGAGAGTCTGCCCGGCTGAGGCGGCAGCTTCCATGCCTCTCAGCACACCGAGCCCCACGCCCGAAGAGTACGACGCCCCGGCCCTGAGGCACCAGGACCAACCCCGACGGCACGCCCTGCAAAGCGAGGCCGCCACGGCCGCTGCTCTGCACACGTGCGTGGAGTTGGACTCAGCACCGGCGCGAGGAGGGATGCCAGCACCAATGGACACGTGGAGGAATGTCAGTTCTGGCCCAAATGCAGTGACCTGGGTCAGAGGGACTTTTCAGAACACCTTGTTCCTGTTGTCCTGAAAGCAGATGCCACCAAGACACAGCCTGGCTCTGAGAGGGGCCGGGTGCCCGTGCGCCGGTGTCCCTGTGGTCCCGGGGCCAGTGCACTGGGCCAAGGCCGCTGAAGCTGTCGTTGGCACGTGGGTGTCCCCTAGAGTAGCCCTTGGGGGGCCGTGGATGAGCACAGTGCCCTGGGCAGCAGAAGCCAAGCAAGGACCGTCACTCCACCTCCTCCCCAGAAAGCAGCACCCCTCTGCTCCCCGACCTCTGGACGTTCCACGTGTTGGGTGACAAGTCCATGGGATGTCCAAAGTGGGGGGCGGGGTCCACACCAGGGCCCACCGACTTCTTCCTGCCGAGTTTTTGCAGGGTTGCTGCGACACACGTGGGGCATGTGGCCCTGTGGCAAGAGGGACTTGCTCCACGCAGCCCCGGTCTCGGATGGTCAGCGAGCCCTGGGTGGGTCCTATGCAAAGTGCCAACACCCAGCGTCTTCTGGGGGGGAAGCAATGGCCAAGCGGTGTCTGCCGTGGTAGGTGACAGGAGTGCAGGGAGCCGACGGGTGTCACTGGGCGCCTGGAGCAACTGCCCAGGGCCCTCGGGGTGACTCCATGGTGGGTAAGGTTTCCGCAGGACGACTGGTCATCGCACAGACGTGTTAGGAGCCGCTGGTCACTACAGCACACACAGATTAGTCGTGGTTATGAACAATGTCCCCAGGGAGGCGGGGGCGTCATGTCAGGCGAGCTGATGACGGGACGTGCCCGCGCAGCTGCCCAGAGTCTCCAGGCCACCCTCGGGCAGTGTGGAAGGGCTGGCCGCGGTGGGAGGAGGCGGAGGGACAGGCGAGGGAGGGGAGCACCCCGCAGCCCCAGCGCCGGGCAGCAGTCGGGCGGCGTCTTCTCCCCACGACGCTGGCTCCTCAGGACTGGGGGATCTGCTGGCACCTGGTGGGGCTGGGCGGGAGGCGGGCGGCGGCGCTCTGCTCCGTGCGGAAGCTGTACTCGTACTGCGGGATGGGGAGGGGGGACAGAGACACACAGTCAGTCCAGTCCACAGGATGCCAGAGGACGCCCCTCCAGGGCCTCAGAGCAAGAGCAGGCAGAGGCGCTGAGGCCGCCTCCCTAAGCACCCACGCACAGAGCCACTGGCCGGGCCAGTGCCAGCTGGGGGCTGTCCTCTGCCCTCGCTCGTGGGCACGTGCACGAGAGCTGTGCATGTGGCGTGTGTACCTGAGCGTGTGCAGACACGCCTCGGGGGTTACGGGCTCCTATGTTGGTGCTGGCAATGCACAGGGTGAGCCCTCAGCCCCTGTGCAAAGCTGTGGCGCCACAGCAAACACCGATGCAGTGCCCGCCCGCCAGGCGTGTGCTGAGCGCCTTGTGCTCCCGCCCAGGACGGTCCTCGCGCTCCTGTTGGTAAGGGCAGATCGGAGACTCAGCCCCAAACCCCAGCAAGGCCAGCCTGGGCCGCTAGGCTCGGCCGGCTGACAACAATGTGCGGTGACCCGGGGACACTGGGAGGGGCTGCCCAAGCCACCTCCGACGTGACCCTATGCCCTCTGCACCCTTTCCTCTCAGAATTCTCAGAGCCACTCTCTGACGAGGACCCCTCTGCAGCCACACAGCTGGGCCAGGCTGTCCCAGGAGCGCACCTGTCCTTCGCCCTGTGCCAGGAGTCCAGCCCTGCAGGGCCTTAACCTTCTCGCTGGAGACTCCGGCTGACCTGCCTGGCCGTGGGTCACGGGCACAAGTCCCCTGTCCAAGGGAGGTTTAGAGAAGGGGTGCGCAGCTGGCGGGGCACCTGCGGTTCATGGGAAGGCCAGCTGGGACCTCAACACCCAACGCAGGGGGTGCGAATGGGCAGAGGGTGGGCAAGGAGCACCCCACCCTGGCAGGGACGGGCCCGAGTGGCCTCAGTGGCACAGTGGCCACTGCAGGAGCAGGTCTGTGAGGCTGGGCGGGGTTGTGGGGACGGTCTGGAATGCTAGGCCACGGATCCCCATGGCCATCCGGGTTTCAGGAATGAGAGCTTAGATGAGCGCAGTGCTTGTCAAACATTTTAAATACTTAAAAAACCTTTAGCAGTAGAATTGCCACAAAAGGGGCTCTGCTACGTAAAACAGACGGAAGCGGAGCTACCCTAGTTGAATTCAGCCACCAGGAGATGCGGCTCCTTCAGGGACAGCCATGGGGGGTAGGGGGGGAGGGAGGCTGTCAGGAAGGTGGTTAAACCGCCCAGCAGGAGGCTGAGCCCTGGCCGCAGGGGGCGCCCTGGGGTCCCCGTGCCCCCACCCAGGCCAGGCCTGCCTACCCTCCCCGGCCACCCAGGGGACACGCTGACTAAGGAGGGTCACAGAGCTGAGGCCTTCGGGGGCAGAGTGGGACCAAAAGCCACTGGAGAATGAAGGGGCGCAAGAGGGCCGTGAAGGCTTCTTTTCTCTTAAAGTGGAAACGTGGCAGGGAGGCCGAGGCAGCCAGCAGACCAGCTCTGCGCCCACGGCCACCCCCGCTTGAGGGGCTGACCCAGGACAACAGACAGACACAGGTCCTGGCTGGGGCTCAGCAGACCCTCGGGGACCCTGAGCCAAAGGGCCAGGGTGATGCTGACGATATGACGTGTCCCCAAACGGACAGCACCACCTGCGGCCAGACGGGTGGGGAGGGCAGGACTGGAGGCTGCAGGTGACCTCGGGCAGGTCTCTCCTCTCTGTTACTCAGCGAACGCACCTCTACAGTGGGGAGAAGCCCCCCACGCCCAGGGCCTGCCGTGAGGACGGGCGGAGGGACGCACTGAGCAGGCCCTGCTGTCTGCTAAGGGCCAGGCACAGCCAGGACGGGCAGGGCTTCGCGCTAAGGCTGGGAGGACACTGCCACCTGGCGGCTGCTCGGGTCCGCGCACGGCAGGTAACGGCGGCATGTTCGTTCCCTTGCTGGCTTCATTGGCGCCCACCAACATCCACCCTGCGCTGTCCCCAGGGCGCACAGGGTAGCAGGGAGGGGCACGGGCACGCCCAGTACGGCCCAGCACGAACGCGCCTGCGAGGGCAGCTGCGCAGGGCGGCGGCTGCAGGAGGGAGTAAGGTCCGCGTGGTCCCGTGGTCCGCGTGCGGAAAGCAGAGGTGGGGGTGACGGGGAAGGGCACTGACAGCACAGAGAACAGCGGTGCGGGGGTGCAGAGAGCGCCCCCATGCTGTGGTCTGGGGACCAGCGTAGACAATTCTGTGACCCTATCCATGGACGTGGAGAGGGTGGGCAGAGAGGGAAGGGCCAGAGACCGCGTGATGTGCAGGGGGGCTGGGGAAGGCGGCGGAGGCGAAGCGATGCCCGAATGAGGGAAGGGGGCGGCCCAGGGTCCTGGCTATGCCCGCTCCTGGGGTGGCAGGCAGCGCGAGCGGCAGTCAGGCGTCAGGGGGCCAGTGACGGGAGGTCGAGGCCCCAGCCCCAGAGTGGCCACAGGGCTGGGCTTTCCGGGTGGCAGGTGGGGGAGCAGGACGCTTCCAAGCCTGGGTGAGCAGCTGGCTGACCAGGCAGAGGTGCCGTGGTGGGACCCTGTGACTCTGTCCCAGTCTCTGTGGCCAGGAGTAGGGACAGGGTTGCAGGGAGGGGGCGTGGACGGGCCCCCCAAGATGAACTGCTGAACTCCTGTTCACTCTCCTCCGGGCGGGGAGAAGTCACGACGCACTTGTCTCTCCCCGACCTGGGCACACCAAGCCTCCCCGCCCCGGGGGCGTGCGGATCGCTGTCCCCTTCCGCCCCCTCTCCCTTGGGATTTTTTCCCTTTTTAGGTTATCTTGGCCGGAGAAAAGCGCTACCCACCCCCTCTCTTGTTTTCCCTAACTCCCCAAATGAAATTTCAACATATGTCCCCCGACATAATCCCTCTCCGGCGGCGGCTAACCCTTCCCGCAGACGCTGTCCTCTGCCCCCGCGCTGCTCCGCGTGTTTGCCCAAGAGACTAGGCGCTTCTGGAAGCCTTTCGCTCCCTTGGGCAAACAGAGAGTACCTTTGAAGGTGGATTTGGGCCGGGATCTGTTTACTCAAGACATTAGTCTCCTGCATAAGGAAAACCTGCACTGGCGTACAAACAGCAAATCCTTTTTGAATTAAAAAAATTTTCAATTAAAAAGCATTTGGCTCGCACAGCCGAGCCCAGCTGAGCAGCGCCGGGCCGGAGCGCCCTCTGGTGGGCACAGGCTGCCATAGCAGCCACAGGCGGCCTGGACCTGGTGGCTTCCGCCAGGAAAGAGATGTCACTGTCAGGGGCTCTGTCTGGGGCATCCTGGGCACCCCAGGAATCCTGCAATTGATGGCGTCAGGCCACGGTGCACTGTGAGAGTCCCAGCTAGAGTCCCAGCTTCCCAAAGCCTTTTCTCCTAGCGAGGCCAGTGTCCTGTCAGTAGGTGCCACACGCAGCTTCCAGCTACGCCTTGGAGGCAAAGTCACTTTGGCCCTGGCCTCACTGGCAAAAGGGGGCGATCGAACCTCCCGGTCTACTCACTAAGGGGTGGTGAGAGTCAACCAGGACAATTTGTGTGAAAGTGCCTGAGAGTAAAAGAATTAGCCTGGTGATGCCCCAGCCTCACAGATCTTAACCACAGGGCCACATGGCCCCCGCGGTGGGCGGGGTGGTTTTGGTCTAACTGGCACGCGGCGGGGAAGTGTCGGCGTGTTTAAAAGCACTCAGGTGATTTTAATGGTCAGGCAGGTGGAGAACCACTGCCTGGGGACGGCTAACGGAATACATGACGCTAGAGGAAGGCACCTGTCCCCCCAGCCCTCCTCCCACCGCCCTTCCTCCATCCAGTAACGATCACATCAGAGGGCTCAGGGGGACACCGGGTGTTAAGGGGTCGTTCCCAGCACCTGGGTTTTGCAGATGAGGAAACTGAGGCCCAGGGAAGGATCTGACTTTCTGAGGCCCCAGAGAGACCCGGCCCAGTGCAGGACTAGGCCGGAGCCCAGAGAGTCCCCCGGGGGCAGGTGTTGTGTACCCACCTCTCACGAGCCAATGAGCAAATGCAGGTGGGTCACTGCAGGGCGTGGCAGGGTGTGGTCAGAGGGCAAGAACAGGCCTGGAGGGGCCCAGGCTGGCTCAGAGGCCTGGCCAGGTGACAGGTGGAGGGGAACGAAGGGGGACAACACTCAGGCCAGCGAGAAGCACCTGGGGCAGCGGTGGCCGGAGCGTGAAGGGCAGGCCTGGGCCAGCACAGGGGAGGGCCGGGAGGCTCTGCACAGCGGCCCCACCTGCCCGCTTCTCCCAGCCTCCCCGGCGTCTGCTCCGTGCGCCGGTCCTGCCCTAATCCCAGGCGTCCCACAGGCCACAGAGCAGCTGTCTTCTGTTTCAGTCTGAAGGCTCAGCTTCCTCATCCACAGCTCGGATCCCCTGGGAACCTCCACTATGGGAAGTGTCCTCTCCTCACGCGAGGGCTCCGTGTCCTTCCCATCTGTTTCCCTGGCGTTGGGAGCTCAGCCCACCGGGGCACCCGCATCGTGCGGGAAGGCCGGAAGCACTGCTCTCCTGGGGCCCTGCAGGCCTGTGCGTGCCGGAGGGGTCCCTCCCCGGGCACCCCGTTTCGGTAGGTGTGGGCACTTGCGTTCTCACAAGGACCCCAGGCGACTCCACTCAACAGGCAGGTTTGGAAGCCCCTGCACCTGTCCCCTCCCTCAAGCAACTGAAGGGACGAGCCTGAGGCTGCCTGACACTCTGCGGCCCCCTCTGCTCATTTTTCCACGGATGTCCTCGTTCCCACTTGGGCTATGGCTCCGCAGAGACACGAGAAAGGCTGGGAAAACGCGGGAGCCGGGGACCAGCGGCACGTGAAGGGCTTTGTCTCACCGGAGGGAGGCGGCGCACATGCAGGTGGGGGCCCTCCCCTGCCCCGGAGCTGAGCGGGACGCCTTGTCCCTGCCCCCGGTGAGGGTGAGGCTCTGCAGCTGGGCCTCACTGGACACAATAGCCAGGTGTCCGGGAGCTGGCAGTGTGCAGGATGGAATCCTCGCTCCTGGG